CATGCTATCTTAAGTGCAGTTAATCGTGAGGAGAAGAGAAAGATTTTTGGTGAGAACATAGTCTTCGTGCATTGTGTGATTGCATTTTCCAGATAGCATGGACAAAGTGAGCAAACTGGATATGTTATATAGCCTTCCAGAGGCTCAAGGTATTCGGGATGTGGTGAATACTGGGACTACTTCATCTGCACCTTCTCCTTAGGCCACCATAGTTCTAACTCTGATCCATTCTCTCTCCTTGGCTGTAGATATTCTTACTCTTGCTCTTGAGCTTGATCAACTAGTGAATGTCGCAACCATTTTATTACTGCAAAAAAAAATCTCGCCTTCGATTTTGATAAATAGAGCCCGGGGTGAGGAATAACAATTCGTTTGAATTGAGGGTTTTCCAAATCAGACATGTGTTGTTGACGGCGGTGCTTTGGGGTATATAATTCCCTTCATGTGGGTGTAAAAAGTATTATCTTCATGGCTTACTCAGACTCCTAAGGAGGTGGCCCCTGTAGTTTCAACATCGAACTTTTCCTTCATTTAGAATCTTCCAAATGGGGCAAGTTGAAATGGCTTCTAAGCTTGCCCAAAACATGTTCAAGGTTGCTTTTATCTTCTTTTTTGTGTTTGCTGGATGCAGAGATATCTTGGCCCTGTTTAATCCCTCGAAAGAAAGAGTTACATGGAAAGGGAAGGTTGAATATATGGAACTGATGTGCATTAATTTCTAGAAGGAGCTTGTTATGTTGCATGAGAAAGTGAAGACCATCATGTCTTCTAAGGAGGTGGCGAATCTACATGGGTTTCCTTCTATTCTGGCCACTAGTGTAACTAAACTAGAGGGTCCCCTTAATGATGTGGAGATGTAATACCCAATTTATTCCAATTCTATTGAGGAAAAGACTCTCCAGGTGGATGAGCATCAGAAAGGCCTTGAGGAAACCGAGACCCATGTAGAGGCTTTGAAAGCTCTTTAAGACAAGGTGGTAGATTTGAAGCAGGCTCTCTATGACTCTCTATTGTAGACTATACAGGACGTGCTTTGATTGCATGAGCGAGTTGTGGAGTATGCAAGAAGGTTTTGCCTGATATTATAATTTATGCCAAAGTTCTAGACTTTTTTTAATTCTGCTAGTTTATGTATGGTTCTTATCATCTGACATGCATGTTGCTAGTTATATAAATCTTGTTTATTTTTCCGTTGCACTCTAATGTTATGTCATAAAGATTGTTCTAATCATTTATTTTCACATCTTAGCTAAAGGGGGAGATTTTTGTCACAAGTGATTGGTACATTTTTTATAATCAACATGTTAGGCAAGATGTCATGACATGCTGTTGAGACATATGGTCTCTGCGTGCTTAAACCAAAAATATGAAAATTATGAAGGTTATAAGTGCCGTAATTTTCTCATATTTTTAGAAAATATTTGAAAGTCATGCCAATTTAAATTACCATTATTTACAAACAAGAAACCTTCATTTTATGCTTAAACTTATTATGACAATTTGTATGTCGCTTATTGTCAAACCGCCATTATTTTCATTGTGGCAACCAAATTTATGGCATTATTATAAAACTTCATTTTTGAGTAACACCTATATTGTCAAACTTTACCGATGTCATAATACCTATGTTGTCAAGCTTTACCGATGTCTTTAGTCTTAGGCTCTCATCCATCTAACTCTATATATTTTTCTAGTTTTCTCATGAATAAAGTTTTTCAAGAATTTTTTTTGAACAATCCTAATTCCGAAAATATTTTGAAAATTCGGTATTTTTAAAAGAAAATATAAGAAACAACTAAACGAACAAGAAAAATTATAAACATAAATACACAAGAAAGAAAAAGAAAAAGAAAAGAAACAACATAAACCAACTCGGGAGGTAAGAAGCACAACATGAGTTGTAAACAAAAAAAAATACACATTAAAAAGAAAAAACATAACAAGACATAAGTGATAAAAAAATATGTGGGTTACCTCCCCTTAAATGCTTTGCTAAACATCGTTTTAGCCGGACGGTTCATGAGTGCAAAAGCACTCATGATAGTTCCTTCAAAACTAGACTCATGCCTTCAAACCATATTTTTTAATTTTAAACCAAATAAAAAAAATCAAACCATTTTTAATTATAAATTTTAAAAAAATTTTAAAAGTTCAGACAAAATTGAAGTAAGACAAATCATTTTATTTTTCCGTTGCACTCTAATGTTATGTCATAAAGATTGTTCTAATCATTTATTTTCACATCTTAGCTAAAGGGGGAGATTTTTGTCACAAGTGATTGGTACATTTTTTATAATCAACATGTTATGCAAGACGTCATGACATGCTGTTGAGACATATGGTCTCTGCGTGCTTAAACCAAAAATATGAAAATTATGGAGGTTATAAGTGCCTTAAATTTCTCATATTTTTAGAAAATATTTGAAACTCATGCCAATTTAAATTACCATTATTTACAAACAAGAAACCTTCATTTTATGCTTAAGCTTATTATGGCAATTTGTATGTCGGTTATTGCCAAACCGCCATTATTTTCATTGTGGCAACCAAATTTATGGTATTATTATAAAACGACATTTTGAGTAACACCTATGTTGTCAAGCTTTGTCGATGTCGTAGCACCTATGTTGTCAAGCTTTACTGATGTCTTTAGTCTTAGGCTTTCATCCATCTAACTCTATATATTTTTCTAGTTTTCTCATGAATAAAGTTTTTCAAGAATTTTTTTTTGAACAATCCTAATTCAGAAAATGTTTTGAAAATCCAGTATTTTTAAAAGAAAGTATAGGAAACAACTAAAAGAACAAGAAAAATTATAAACATAAATACACAAGAAAGAAAAAAATTATAAACATAAATACACAAGAAAGAAAAAGAAAAGGAAAAGAAGCAACCACCCCCCTCCCCCCACAAAAAAAAACATAAACCAAACATTGTCTTTAATATTTTAGAGAGAGAGAGAGAGAGAGAGAGAGAGAGAGAGAGAGAGAGAGAGAGAGAGAGAGAGAGAGAGAGAGAGAGAGAGAGAGAGAGAGAGAGAGAGAGAGAGAGAGAGAGAGAGAGAATTCACAAAAACCTCACTCGGGAGGTAAGAAGCACAACATGAGTTGTAAACAAAAAAAATACACATTAAAAAGAAAAAAACATAAAAAGACATAAGTGATAAAAAAAAGTGTGGGTTACCTCTCACTAAACACTTTATAAAACATCGTTTTAGCCGGACGGTCATGAGTGCAAGCACTCCTGATAGTTCCTTCAAAACTAGACTCATTCCTTCAATCCATATTTTTTAATTTTAAACCTAATAAAAAAATCAAACCATTTTTAATTTTATATTTTTTAAAAAATTTAAAAGTTCAGACAAAATTGAAGACAAATCATTTTTTTTTTATTTTTTCAGTTTACGTTTATTAATAGCATTTTTTTACCATCAATATCCAATCTATTAGATTAATTAATTTAATTGAAGGATCACTTCAGACATCAAATAGTTTCAACCCTCTTCCAATCACATTTCAGAAGGATGAAACTGTGATTCTTCCTATCAAATCACCGTCAATCACGATTTGATCAACTAACGATAGATGAAATTTAAAGGTTGTTATACCTTGGAACCTTGGGTATTCCAAATTTCTATTAAATATTTAAATTAATAATTAACAAATTAAATTAATAATTATTCCAATTCTATTGGGGAAAAGACTTTCGAGGTGGATGAGCATTGTAAAGGCCTTCTTGAGGAAACCGAGACCCATGTAGAGGCCTTGAAAGCTCTTTAAGACGAGGTGGTAGATTGAAGCAGGCTCTCTATGACTCTCTTCTGTAGACTATATAGGACGTGCTTTGATTGCATGAGCGAGTTGTGGAGTAGGCGAGAAGGTTTTGCCTGATATTATAATTTATGCCAAAGTTCTAGACTTTTTTAATTCTGCTAATTTATGTATGGTTCTTATCATTTGACATGCATGTTGCTAGTTATATATATCTTGTTTATTTTTCCGTTGCACTCTAATGTTATGTCATAAAGATTGTTCTGATCATTTATTTTTACATCTTAGTTAAAGGGGAGGATTGTTGTCACAAGTGATTGGTACATTTTTTTATAATCAACATGTTATGCAAGACGTCATGACATGTTGTTGAGACATATGGTCTCTGCGCGCTTAAACCAAAAATATGAAATTTATGGAGGTTATAAGTGCCTTTAATTTTCTCATATTTTTAGAAAATATTTGAAAGTCATGCCAATTTAAATTAGCATTATTTGCAAACAAGAAACCTTCATTTTATGCTTAAGCTTATTATGGCAATTTGTATGTCGCTTATTGTCAAACCGCCATTATTTTCATTGTGGCAACCAAATTTATGGCATTATTATAAAACGTCATTTTTGAATAACGCCTATGTTGTCAAACTTTACCGATGTCATAATACCTATGTTGTCAAGCTTTACCGATGTCTTTAGTCTTAGGCTCTCATCCATCTATGTTATACACTTGAACCTCGGGTATTCCAAATTTCTATTAAATATTTAAATTAATAATTGACAAATTAAATAAAGAAAATGAAATTGTATTTAATTATGAAAAATTTTCCTGTAACAGCATCTTTTAAAATGATAAATACCCTTATTAAATGACATGTGACTAAATATAAAAAAATAAAAAAATAAACTAGCTTTAATATATTCTTTAGATTCCTGACATAGCGTCACCTTAATGAGTTGTGTATTTTGTGTATACCTCCTCCGCATGTAACATGCACACATTCACTAATGAAATATATGCATGTGACAATATTAAACTTCCTGTGCGTGTATCATGAGCACAATAAATAATGAAATATATGTGACAATAATGTAAACTTCCTCCGCGTGTAACATACGCTCATTATCTAATGAACATGTGCAACTGCAAAACCGAGCTATGGTGCATATATAATTGAGTAAGCAGCAAATATCCTCATTCATAACCTGGTATCAAAACTAGACAGCAAGTACAATGGCTTTTTATCGCAATCAAGAACTATTCTACCTTGTTTCACTCATCTTTGTTTTGCTAGCCACAAATGTTCACGCACTGTCTTTTGATTTCCCCAAGCTCACCCCTGGCGATTCTAGTATAATCCTCCAAGGGGATGCCCAGATTTTAGCCAATGGTGTCTTGGCACTGACCAACAGTACACCACTTCCTCCTACAACAACATTTTCAAGTACCGGTCGTGCCTTATATACAACACCCGTGCCCCTTTGGGACAGTGCTACCGGCAATGTTGCCAGTTTCGTCACTTCCTTTTCTTTTGTCACAAAGTTGACCGGAGGTTTTCAAACTGATGGACTCGTATTTTTCATTGCACCAGTAGACACTGTCATTCCAAACAACTCAAACAGTCAATATCTGGGAGTAGTTGATAGTAAATCTTCAATAAATCGATTCGTAGGTGTAGAGTTTGACCTTTATCCCAATCCTTTTGATCCCTATCTAATACATATTGGAATCGACGTCAACTCTTTAATTTCCACCAAGACCGTGAAATGGAACTGGGTGAGTGGTTCTTTGAATAAAGTTAGTATAATCTATGACTCTCCTTCTAACGCATTGACTGCTGTTATCACTTATGAGAATGGTCAAATTTCTACCATTTCACAAGAGATTGATTTAAAGGCTGTGCTCCCCAACAACGTTAGGATTGGTTTTTCTGCTACTTCAATAACTGGTGTAGCACAAGAAATCCATTCATGGTCATTCGTATCAGATTTGAAAACAACAACAAGCAGCAGTGTCTCAGACATATGAATAATAATATTATTACAAGCTATGCTTACTTACTAGGAGCTTGTAATAATTAACTACTATTTTTAAATAATACCCTGCTTACTAGCAGCTTGTGTGATCTATGTGTGTTTTCTTTTATAATAGAGACCATGTTTTTATTAAAGTTTCTTACTCTACATTCTCAATATTTTTTTGGGTCTTAATTAGGCAAATACTTGTGTCATCCCTAACAAGAATTCAAGCTCGTTAATTAATTTATATCAAAAATATCATAGCATACTAAAAAAATTATTTTACCAAAATTATATAAAACTGATTCTTTGAGCAATTTTGTGTTATAATATTATTAAATAATTGACTCATTTCAATGTTTTGGATAATAAAAAAAGTGTTGTCCATTGACAAAAATCAACTAGGAAAATCATAAAGAAAAAAAGTAGACGTCAAATATATCAAAATTGCATAAGGTTTAGAATTTAAAAGATTGGATGATTCATCAAAGTATTTTAATGGCAATTCATATATTTTTATAATTTTTAGATGTTTAAGGAACTTCATCTCATCTTGTCTAAATATTTTTTATTTTTGCATACTATTTCAAATCATGCATTGAAATTAAAGTTTTTTAAAATATTATTGATCTGACCTGATCAGAAGAGGACCAATGACCTGTCACGCGTCGTTGATCTGCAAGCTGCTCACAAGGAATATGGACGAAGAGGGGGTGTACCTGTAAGACACTCCGATGCCAAAGTAAGTAATGGACCAGAGTGGGAGCAAATACAGAATAGAGGTTATGAAGAGAATACCTGACCCTCTTGTAAAAGAGGGTATTTATAGAGAGACCCCCGCGTAGGGCCAACGATCACTTTGTTTTAGGCTGGATTGTCAGGCCCAACGTAGATGACTGCTAGAGCTTACGTGGCGTAGTGAAGACCAGCACGTGGTCTTCACCCTAATTCAACTGTCCCGTGATCTCCGGAAGGTGGGTTGACCAGCTCTTTCGGAGGTGGATAGTTGGATAATGACGTGTTCCCACGGAGAGGAGCACGTGGAGAACGTGGAGAAGACGTGTTGTCCTGCCCAGCGGAGGGACTGTCCTGCTCGACGAGGGAGCTGTCTGGTCGACGGGGAGAACCTGTGCCCGACACTGGACAATTTGAGCCTTCCCCAAATGGCGTTTGACCGGGCCTGCACGACGGATGGGCAAGCCTGAGCCCAGTCCAGAACAATTTATATAAATGCAATGGGTTGACTTAATACTACAACAAAGTGCAATAGATTGATATAATTGTGCAACCAATTGCATTTTGGGTTTGTCCAAGTTTTTTCAAGGCTTTTTTAAAAGTGCAGCTGGTTGACAAAATTGTGTAATAGATTGCATGGTCTTCGACATTCGTATTTTATATGCATTTTTCCATAATACAACTGGTTGAGCTTTTAATGCAACCGATGACGATGCTAACACTAGTGGAAAAAAAGGCTTTTTAAGTCGGTTAAAAATGACTTTTTATGTCGGGTCCGAGCCCGACCTAAGAATTACCGACATAAGAAGTTTTGACATCTTAAGTCGGTTGTGGACCTGACTTAATGAACTATTATTAGGTCGGTTAGACAGAACCCGACTTAATAAGTCTAGCCTGAAGAAACCTCTCGGGCCATTTATACCCGACCTAAGAACTTACTTTCTTAAATCGGATATAACTAACCGACCTAAGAAGTTGTTGTTGTTTTTTGTTTTGGATAATCACACAAATCAAATGCAGCTTTCCCATTTAACAATTTACCCCTAAATCAGACTATCCAACTCAATCAACAAATTACACCCAAAAAAAATCACACAACACAAATCACAGTAAAACCCCTAATTATCAAATAAAATAAATTAGCAACTTATAAACACAATTACGTATATTAATAACCAGATTTATATTTTACCATTTGATTTGGATTTTTAAAAGTGGAATAATTTAGATACAAATTTGGTTAACAATAACCGATTTTTTTTGCACACCCCTCCTCTTATTTTATTGTGAAACAAGTGTAACAAATGTGACACATCTAAAACCGCACATATCTTTATTTAGTAGAATCCACTAAACTTAAAAACACAAGACTCAGAACAACTCTTTGAAACTCCTTCATTCACCGGTATTGGCTTGCTAATTCACCCTCCTTCACAATGTAGTTCTGTTGAGGAAAGTCTTCACCCTTGAAGTGCCTCTCAAGCATATCTTTAACTCCAACAGCATAGCGTAACTGAACAGGTTCAATCATCAACATCATCAGTAATTCACAAAACATTAAGTGTTAGCTTTCTACAACAGTTTTCTGGATTCATTTTTAACTTCTTTTGTTTCAATGTATTCTTGCATGTTCTAATGTTTAGGAACATGTTAGACTAAACTTGTGTCTCAAGTAACATTTAGGAACATGTTAGACTAAACTGAGAAAAATAATAATTTTACTGACCACCATAAAAGGACTAAAGTGGAGTAGTTTTATCAAAACTAAACTACCTGTGCATTTATGGTGGTTCCAGAAATATGAGGAGTCATGGCATGGTTTGGCATGTAGCGCCATGGATGATCTTTTGGAGCTGGTTGAGGGAACCAAACATCCCCACTGTAACCTATAAGATGAAACTCAGCTGTTACACTACATCAAACATAGTTCAAACGAAATTGAAATGTTACACTATAGGATTATGTTTTGTTTGGAAATACTATATTTGCAAGCTCTGGTTTTAGAATTACCTCCAATGTGTCCACTAGAGCAAGCATCAGCAACTACTTGTGTGTCCATAATTGCCCCGCGAGCATTGTTAACAATCAAGACACCTTTCTTCAACTTAGCAATTCTATTTTTGTCAAACAATCCCCTGAATCACAAACATTAAACAACAAAAACATCAGCCACTGATGGGTGTAAACTCAGCAGAAGCACTTAAACACAAGCTGTGATTTTTAACTCTGAACTTGACTAGTAGAATGGCATTGCAGTCACTCTCTAGTCGGAGACTTAGGCACTATTGGCCAAACTCCATGAACAAAATTTGTGTGTTCCCTATTTTAATTTGGAGTAGCTATGAATTTCTCTTATGACTATGGATTTCATGTGTCCAAAATTATTTCAACAGAAGGTATTAGTATTAAAATTATACCTTGTCTTTTCAGTGAGAGGCGTGTTGATAACAACTACATCGCACTTTGGAAGCATTGTATCAAGGTCCTCTTCAAACTTAGTTCCAATTTCTTTCTCTAATTCAGGCTCAATCTTAAGTCTATCATGATATAAAAGGTTATAGTTAAAAGGTTTCAGCCTTTGGAGTAAAAGCTTCCTGATTCGTCCTGCACCCACCGTTCCTACCGTCTTTCCTTCAAGATCATAGGCTCTATGTGAAATGCCTGTAACATTCCATTCTCCGGTAATAGACTGATGGTAACCAGGCACAAAATTCCTCACCAGAATGAGAATTCTCATGACCACATCCTCATCCACCGACACTGTATTGCTTCCTGTGACCTCTGCGACGGTTAAACCAGCAGCAGCCGCAAACATTGAGATCAATATGATCAGAACTAATTTCGGCAGTCAAAAGTAGCTCTAAATTCTTAGCTTTCTTAATTCTTTTGGCGGTAACATAGGCAGGGTTAAATGGTGTAGATATCAAGACATGAAGATCAGGAATGTGCTTCTCAAGTTCTGATAACATGACAACAGAGTATACAATGTCATCAAAAGTGATAGAATGTGGTTCAAAATGGAAGAACCATGCCTTTCTTCTTTCCATGTCTGGAATCTGTAACAGAATCTCCTCTTCCTGAACTTTCTGAAAGACAATAGAAAAAATATTCAGGAACTAAACTATATGACAGACTAGCATATGTTTGTTTCATAAGGGATATGCATATAATCAAGAAAGGTCACCTCTGCGTGGTAATTCAACTTCTTGTACGGTCCTATCATTAGAAGAATCATCTTCTGAATCATCAGGTATTGTTGCTTGAGGCTTATCAAATGGGCCTAGTACAGCGAGAGCCACACCAAACATCAAGTTGAAAAGGAACACAAATCCAGCCAATCCCACGATGGTATCAATCAAAATGCAATCAAAAACTCATGACAAAATCAAATTAAAACTAAACGGCAAATATTGAAGACAAGTCCATATCCTTCCAAAACAAGTTCCAAACAACATTGAAGCAGGATAATCTGAAAAAGGAAAATCTCACCAACAACATTTTGACTCGTCTTGAAGTTAAACAACATTGAAGCAGGATAATTTTTAAATGTCTGATTTTTATTTAAAAAAGGTTACATAAAGGATTGAAGTTAAACAGCATAAGAGAGAGTGAAATGTTCCAACGAATAATTTACCTTGTCAATAATGCCTTCAAGGATTTCATTTTCCACATTCATGCCACATTCTGATAAAATGGCAGCCACCATTTGTTGAACCTGGAAAAATTAGTAAGATAACAAAATAGTTACAAGCATTGGTAGATATAAAAGTATTGGGAGAAACAAGTTATACAAAATAACAGAGTCCTAATGGCGGTTATTGGAACTGAGATTTAATCATTATTCAAAGGACAAACCACCACCACTTATCTTCATTAAACTCGTAATTTAAACTGATACTGCAATATGAAAATTTCTAGTGCAATACATTCTAAGATAACAAAAATATGTTTGAGCCAATAACACTTTTGTAACTTGGATATGTGAAAATACTCACTTCTTCTCGTTCAATGTCTCAAGTCATACAATCTAAAAGCAATTGGAAACAAACCAAGAAAATATAATATATGTTTTATCAGTACCGATGGTATTAAAACATATAATATAAAAATAGAACTACAAAATGCTTACTGAGTCTTACAATCAATTTTCTTTTCCAAAGGAGTATTAGGATGAAAGACACTGAGAGCATGCACAAACTCCTCAAATTCTATAACACCATTCTTTTTTTCATCAAAGAGATCAAACACCTGGGAGATTTTACAAACAGTCAACAAAGCTCAATCATACAACTCCTAAAGGAAGAATAGACATAAACAACATATCTTTCCGCAAATCAGGTATATGCATATCTGTCTAAATTTTAAAATGTTAGACTACGACAAACTTAATGCATTGATCCCTTGTATATTTTTATAAATAGCGTATCTTTTCCTTGTATTTAGTTTGCCAAAGCTTCATAATGCGAAAACCCCGATGCTCAAACAATCGTTTCCAACACAGTGAACAACATTAGATCTGCGGAGAATTGTAGCGAGGCCAAGATCACCAATTTTGGCTTCTCCTTGGTTACCATTGATGAAAATGTTATCACATTTGAGATCTCTATGGATTACAGGAGGGTCCTAACTATGGAGATAGAGGAGACCTTCCAAAATCTGTCTGCACCAATGCTTAACAGCTCTTATGTTAACTTTTTTGTGTTTAAGTCTGTACCTGCATAGACAAGACAATGACTATAAGTACACTCACATTTCTGCTATTTGTGGATAATAATGCTAGAATAACACGATTGTTCCTTCTCAAAGACGTGTTGTCCAGCCCGGGGGAGGGATTGTCCTGCTCGACGAGAGAGCTGTCTGGTCGACGGGGTGAACCTGTGCCCGACACTGGACAATTTGAACCTTCCCCAAATGGCGTTTGATCGGGCCTGCACGACGGATGGGCAAGCCTGAGCCCAGTCGAGAACAATTTATATAAATGTAATGGGTTGACTTAATACTACAACAGAGTGCAATAGATTGACATAGTTGTGCAACCAATTGCATTTTGGGTTTGTCTACGTCTTTTAAAGGATTTTTTAAAAGTGCAGCTGGTTGACAAAATTGTGTAACAGATTGCGTGAACTTCGATATTCATATTTTATATGCATTTTTCCATAATACAACTGGTTAAGCTTTTAATGCAACCGATGGCGATGCTAACAAGCAATCAACTTACAAGGGTGTTTTGAAAAAGGGCTCGATATCGAATCGAAAATTAATTTGAAAATTGTTTAGTATATCTTAGTCCCTAAGGGTACTCCTAGTAAACAAAACCACAATCAAGGAAAAGCAAGTAAAGAGCATACATCGAAAAGGGAGTGGAGTACATGTAAATTATACAGGATTGCGAGAAATAAAAGGTATCATTGTCTGGTAGCCCATGAGGAAGACGTACATGTGCAAGGTGTCCTAAGTTAAAGTAATAGAGAATAGAGATAATCAAGACTCACATCTCCTTTTTTAGGGTTTATGTCTAGTGTCTCAAATCCATGATGCCAAAAGATAGTAACCAACAGTCCACCGATTGAAATTATTTTAGAGTTTCGATAGTTTTATCATATTTTTGTGTTTCTTGAATGAGATGAACAAGATGATATGAACAATGATAATATGAACAATGATATATTGACGAAAAAGTAAAGCAAGAGTACATTGAACAGAAAATAAAGTCAGTGGTTAATTGTTAATTGTTAATCGTGAATTGGGTCCACTTTAGTATTAAACCAATCGTAGCATGATCTATGAGGAAGATCATACTATAGGAGGTCGCTCAATCAAAATGTTTGTGCTAAAACACGAAAGAGAAACGATATGTATATCATTCTCAATGAGTCGTGCCATACAAAAAGGAAAAGTGAATGATCTCATCTTAATCATTAACTTTCATCGATTAATCGAAGGTAACCTATCACGATCGTAAAGTATAGAAAATGATCTCAATGATCATTCAATACAGATTTGAAATAATGAAGGTTAAACAACTTCAACAATTCACATTCGCGATTCTAAAGACTTCATCGACCAAAAGCGAGATGGAAATAAAATCAAAAATGAAATGGAAATGATAAATCGAGGAAATTATATATATATATATATATATATATATATATATATATATATATATATATATATATATATATATATATATATATATATATATATATATATATATATGAAATAATAAATCAAATAACAAATTTTCACAATCTAAAACAAAATATTTTTGAGAAATTTAAGAAAATGAAATAAATAACAAAAAAAGAATTAAAAAAAAAGGAGATGGGGCATATGAACAGGTAGGTGGGTGTGAATCAAAGTTAGGATTCATGTGGACTTAAAATCCTAACAAAGGCACGGTTCTAAAAACAAACTATCATGTTTTAAAAATGAAAAAAAAAACTATGAACAAAGGACGATCAATGTTTCAAACAAAATCCTCATCAGTGAAACAGAATACTACTGTCAACACAACACCACTTAAAAAAGATGACATTCTTCTTTCTAAGACCAAAATCAAAACAAGCAAACAAGGAAGAACAACAAAAATACGCAACGTTTCGCTTCAGCTCGATCTCCTCCTCCGCTGTCTTAAACTTTCCGTTCGCTCAAGTGGATGGAAGGCTGAAGAATTAGAGTAGCTGCAGCTTGGTGCAGCTCGTGACGTTACTTTTGGTTGTTGCTTGCGACATGGTAAGTGTGATGTGCCTTCTTGCTCTTTTTAATTTATTGTAACGTTTGCTAATAGTTGTGAGTTGGTACAAGGTGCTTTGAGGTGGAATTGCTCATGAATTTGGATGATGTTGGAAAGTGTGTGGGGTTATCTTATGAAGTTTGTACGAAAACTTGTGGGGCCACGTGAAAATTAGAAAATTTTGGTGAAGCAATAGTATATGGCATAAAGTTGTGGCTTGTGGATTGTAGCTCTTGGCTAGAATTTTTGTAACATATAGGCTTTGTATCTTTATGCTCTCATGATGCCTCATATTTTCTTTTGTGATGTAACCAAATATTTCCACGCCATGAACTTGTATGAGTGCTACCTTAGGAAAGTTTGATCAAGATGAGCCATGTTAATTTTGATTCATGATGTATGAACCTTGAATGGAGTTTGCAATGTAACTTGAACTTTTATTGTAATTGAAACTTTAATAAGAAATGGAAATGAAATTTTGAACAATAATAAAAATTGACATGGAAACTTGAAACTTGAATTGATTGGAAATTTAGAGATGATTCTTGAAATTATGAATGGAATTGAAGTTTATAAATGAAATGAATTTGTTTAGGATTGATTCTTGAAATGAAGACTTGAATGATATTGAATTTTGATATGAGAACATGGAATTTGAAAGAAGATTGAAATGGAAACTTGATAGTTTTAAATATAAGAAAAAAAAGGCAAAAATATTGTCTAGGTCCTTTAAGTTATTT